CTTGTAGTCTCTGGATACATTTTCTGATGTCACTGAACCTGAAATCTGACTAGAAATTGTAGCAGCTATAAGCTGTTTACACCATTCAACATGTGATCCTGTAGGACTAAAAGAAATAGTGTGATTAAAATATTTTAAGACGTCAGCTCTCAGTGAAAAAAATGAGCACTGACTAGGGATATATGTACATTTCTTTTTTTTTTTTTTTTAAGAAAACAAACTTACATTAGACTATTTGGTTACCTTTACATTTAATATAAGAACTGAAATACTGACTGACAACCAGGAAGTAAGATTAGGTTCCAGGCTGATTTTAAATGAATCAACCAATTTTTTTTTTAAAGAGTCTAGGTATTAGACAGTTAAGCATGTTATTCTGTTTCATTTAATGGAATTTTACTATATTACAACTATATGGAGTGAATATTCTTAATGTAATGTACATGGAATATTAATTCTGAGGTGAAATATTTATCTTATAGCATGTTTTTCAAATAGACTTTTAATGGAACAGTTGATTGTGTGAGTTTAAAAAGACCAGACTAGACAAATGATGTCCCGCATGCAGTAATAACGCTACCTTACATTTCCGTAAGTGCACTGACAACTTACAGAGGCTCCTCCGGTCTGTTATGATTATCAGAGCCTCACAACCACAGTGTGATAAGGCGGCAGATCAGGGACTAGCCGACATGTTTCTGAGATGAGAAAACAGGCACCAGAGGTGACACACCCAATCAGAATGTGACGGGCCTTCCTCCAGCCCTACTGAGGCTGTCCGTCCAGGACACGACACAACCAAGAGTGACCACCTCACGGAACGGGAAGGCAAAACAGTCACAGAACTGCCTTAGACGAGAACACAGTCCCGCAAGGAAAATGGCATCTTCCACTTGCATGGTGCTCTCAAATGTCACCACATTTCCACACACAGCCTCACCTGAGCCTCACAGTGACCCATCTTACAGATGAGAAAAGTGAGGCTCCAGCATCCACCAAGGTCACATGACCGGTGAGTGGTCGGGCTGTGCCCACCTGACCTAAAAGGACACAGAAGCAGACTAGGCAGTGAGGGAATTAAAGATTGCCCTCAAGGGGCCAGGCTCCTCACCAAAGTACTGAAGGAATCAGGCAAAGGGCAAAAGATGCTCATTAAAGTTTACCCTGCAGGTAGCTTTCACTGTAAAGAATGTCCCAGACCTATAAAAATCTCATCACTATTTAAATCCACACTCATACATTGGAAAGACTGAAAAAAGTGGAATCTCTAGGCAGTATGTAAAATAACCTAAACAGTAAAATGAAGATATTTGATGTTCTCTACTAGATGTGATCTAAATTTCTGCCTCTGATCAAGATAGCCCAGTGGTGAGCCACAGGGCTGAAAACGTAAGTAAAAAACATGCCCTGAATGAGCAGACATTCCTATCATATGTCATATGGGCATTCCTATCATATGTCATAAATCTATTTACTACAATTTCTAACTGAGAGGAAAAGAGGGAAAGGGGAGGGATTTTAGCTTCTTTTTTAAAGGCTAAGTCCCCTTTATTGCTGGCTATATCATACTTTTCTTGTCACACTGCCTTCTTCCCTGCCAGCACCCACCCCCGATTGCAAATCTAACAGTAGGAACCTGCCTGGTCACCCACTGTTGTTACCATCTGCCCAGCATCCCTTCCTCCTTCTTCTGATGAGGGCACTTCTCTACTGGGGGGAACTGTCCTTCCCCACTTCACAGGATTCTGGCGGGGGAACAGAGCGAGACGGATACCTCGCTCCTCCTGAGCCCACTTGCAGGGGAGTGATCTGGACCAGGCCAGTCCCAGGCTTTCCTCTTGGATCCCAAGCTGCGTAGACCCACCCCCAGCACTGCTGCAGGCCACTCCCCACCCCCACCACCTTGAGGAACCCACAGAGATAAAGAACGGGACAAGAAAAAACAAGAGATGAGGAGCCCCGACAATGCTGTGTGCAACTCTGGCTCCAAACGTGCTCGTGGCCATCTTTCCTCGTCTGCAGCAGTCATGTGTGCCAAGACATTTCCTTTTTAGCTTAAGCTAGAATGAGTTGTGTTTTTTGTCACTTGCACCCAGAAGTGTCCTGGCCAACACAGTCACAAACAGCATGGTATAGTGGGCTGGTAGACAGGAGGCTTGGATCCAAGTCCTGTTTCTGTTACCAGCTAGCTCTGTGACCTTGAGCAAGCCACATCCTCTTGCAGGACCGCAGCTTTGTCGTCATGAAGTACGGTACTCAGGAGAGAAGGGAGGGCTCCTCAGTCCGTGGGGCACGGCTGAACCTTGCCTGGAGAGCCAGATTCTACTCTAGGGGTCACTCTTCAATGAAGAGTATGAATCAGAGCCTGTCACGATGACAGATCACAGAAGGCAGGCCAGGTTCCCCCTGTGCAATCTCCCGCCACCCTCCTGGTATTAAGAACCACCTGCAGTCTGGAGGAGGCCAGCTTTGTTTCTCCAACCTAGATTCTCCTGATCTGAATGCCCCACGATCCAAGGAGACATCTGTACTAGTTGGTCCTGAGACCTTGCCAACTCGACCTGTCGAAACTGGCACTGGGGCTCAGCCTGCAACCCACTCCCCCACCCCTGTGTTTCCTAGGTCAGGGAAGAGCACAGCCAGTTACCCAGGTACACCATGCGCAAAAGCTGGGGTGGACCTTGGAGCCCGCCCCCCACTTCATTTCACTCTCACATCTGAATGCTCACCAAGCCACATCACTCTTATTGGCTAGTATCCTGAGAATGCACCTTGCTCAGTTCCTAATGCAACTCCCTTTTCCAGACACCCATCATTCTTCTGTGTTCTCCTCCTGCCTCCTGAATTCAGGCCCCATCTCGAGGCCAGTGACTCCCAAATTTAGGTCTCCAGCCCAGACAACACCCCTGAACTCCAGGCCCATATAAACCAACTGCCTCTTTGACCTCTGCTCTGGGATATACAACTAGCATCTCAGAACTGATATGTCTGAAGCTGAGAGCCTGCTAATTTCCTAACCATGTTCCATTCAGAGGCTTCCTCATCTCGGCAACACCATTTTCCCACAAGCCAAAAATCCTGGCATCTTGATTCTTCTCTCCTACCCAACAACCAATCGTCCTCAAAAAGTACTGGCCTTACCCTGCAGGTTTTCTTCAAATTATATCTACAGTCTGACCCCTTCTCCCTTCCTCTGCCCAACTGCTCTGTCTAGGCCACTGTCCTCTCTCATTTGGATGACTGCAACAGTCTCCCACCTGCTAGTCTCTCTGCTTCAACCCTGCCACTTGCAGTCTGTTGTCCACAGAGCAGCTACAGGGAGCTTACTGAAATCTACACCAGAATATGCCACTCGTCTGCTCCAAAAGCCCCAATGGCTCCCCATGACTCTCCACCATCTGCCCCCGTGACTTCTCTGACCTCAACCCTTACTCCTCTCGCCCTAGCTCCCTCCCCACTAGTGACACTGGTCTCCTTGCTGATCCTTGCACACTTTGCACACTCCCACCCGGGGTGCACAGGCCCCTGCCTGGAATGCTGTCACCCTCAATATCTGTATGACTGGATCCCTCCCTTCTTTAGGGGCAGTACTCGAATGTACCTTTCTCAGCCAGGCTTTCCCTGACCATCCTATGTAAAATTCCAATTCATCCCCCAAACTGCAGGCCCCCAACACCTCATATCCCCCTCCCAACTTACTTTTTCCCTAGCACCCGTCACCATCTAGCAGAGAATACCGTTTACTTGTTTTTTGTCTACCTCTGTCACCAAACATACTCTCCACCAGGGCAGTGATTTGTGTGTGTCCGTTCCCTGCCAAATCCTCAGGCCCCCCACAGTGCCTGACACAGAGCAGGCGCTCATATATAAATAAGCAAGTGATCAGCATTTCCATAACCTACTCAGTAAGACTCCCTGCCTCCAGTCCATTCACCACACCACCGCAGAACAAATGTTCTCAAACATCAATCCCATCCTGTAGCTCACCTGATGGAAATCCTTTTGTGGTCCCTATAGCTAGGGTGACCATATAATTTCCCATCCAAACCAAGACACTACTGTGAGTTGACCGAGGATGCACCGGGTCCACCAGTAAACCAGCACCATCCTGGGCAAAAGAGACCACCTGGACCAACCTACTTGTAGCTACAGGTAGTTGTTAAAAGTGCAGAATTCCAGGCTCTACCCCAGTGGGGGACAGACTAGACTTAGGGTGGGACCCAAGAATCTGCACTTGGATCCAGCCCTGGAGGTGATTCCTACGCAGGTTACACAGAACCATGCCCCGAGAAGCATGGCACAGAAGATAAAGGCACAATTCCCTAGGAAGGCACCCAAGCCCCTTCGAGATCTGGCCCCTGCCTCCCACACATCTTCTGTCTTACCAGTTCCCCACGTCCAGCATTGCCTGCACGGCCTGCGCCACTGCACATTCCACTCCCGTGGCCAAAAAGTCCTCCCCACCCTGTCCCCTGGCTAACTTCTCATTCCTCCCCATTCAATTCAAAAGTCAGCTTCCTCAGAAGGCCTCCTTCCCTTAACTGCCCGTAATCCCCACCCCCACCCCCCACTAAAAACAAATCAAGCACCCCACGTCCATGTGCTCACAGCGCAGTGGATCATAAGTAAGTCTGCAGAGGTTTCTTGAAAAATACTACCTCCTGGCCCTCACCCCGAACCTCCTGAATCAGAAGCCTTAGGAGTGGGGCCTGGTCACCTGGAGTACTTAAAAAGCTTCTCAGATGATTCCCATGCACGCCCCATCCAGAGTACTTCTGTGTGTACCTCTACCATAGCACTCAGCACATTCGATTTAAATTGCTGGTTTGTTCGTATTCTTCACTAGATAGTAAGCCAGAGAGCAAAAGCCATCTTGTATTATTCTCTAACTCTCCAAGCCCCCACACATTGTAGAATTATCTGCAAATGAGTGGCATCCTGACCATTCCAAGTACTATCTTAGCTGTGATTAGTTCTCAGTGAAGCCGACCACTTGGGTGATTAATTTGCAAAAATACATTGTAATGACACTGAGATAGAAACAAAAGGAGTGTTTCTTGTTGTTCCTATGCTTCGGGAAACTCCCAAAAGTTCAGCTCTGTTATGACTAACACAGGCAAG